TGTGCGATGCCTACGGCCTACGGCTGTCCCTCGGCCATAAAAGACTAATGCGACCAGCTCTGAATCTAATTGAACTTAACATGAATAAACTTGTCAAATATGACTTGAAGGTTCAGCCAACACATGTCTCATATGCAATGGCCGCGGCGAGCGCCCGAACGCCGCCGACGGCTATGTGCCGTCCCTTGGCCGATCTTACATATCATCCGACAACTACTGAACTGCTTCTCATGATTACTATACTGAAACAAAATAAAGCTTAATCACACGGAAGAACTCGGTTAAATACTGAAGTACAAGCCTCGGCCCACGGCTACCCGAAGCTACGCGCGATAGGCGCGGGGGCGCCGGCTGGGGCCTTTTCATCGGCTTTTCCTCACCTTTACTCGACAATATTGATCATGCTGAACTTAAATTAAACTAACTGATCATTAAAAAGATTATAACTCGAAAGTTGCCGATGAAAACTGAAATTCTTCCGGTGATTAATTTACTTAGGCATGTTCGGATTTAAGCGTGATTAAATCTGAAATTCCGGCAATTTATCCGAACACTTAACTCTGAATTAACCCTATCAACTGAACTTCCAGAGGATGAGAAGATTACCTCTGGAATTGCTTGACGGAACTCGGAAATAGACGTGCTACTTGGTCCTTGAACTCGCCGTGCGATAGCGGTGGACTATTCCGTGCGATTGCCGTGCGTTTGTGCTTGATTATTGGGAGAATCTGCTAACTTAATTACTGCTGCAACTATAAGCTAGATGAAGAGGAAGTACGCTGAGTTCTCTTTAAGAGGAGATGAGGAAATTTTTCCTCTAACACTTACTTATATTTTCGGTTATGAGGAGGATGAGTGACGAGGGGGCGTTGTGGCCCTTCATAAGCCATCCATTTGGCACTCTTTGATGACTTCTCTTAATGACTAATCACTCCCTTATAGTGCCACGTTTCATGCCAAATTTGTGAAGAAGATTTGATTTCCTTGACATGAGTAAACCTTACGGCACTTAGGAGGATTTTGGAAAAATATACCTTAAGTAATGCCATATGCTA